ACCGGGCACGGAGCGCTGCGGACAGCGCACGGTCCAGCTCCATCCTGAGCAAAGTGGCGCAGCTGGAGAGCAAGATCAGGAGCAGGAAAAAGCAGCTGGAAGTGCAGAACTCAGGGCAGAAGGTTTTGGCTGAGGAATCCTCCTTGTCTGCCTCCAGCCCTGAGCACAGTGCCAGGGGCAAGAAGTACCTGAAGAGTCACAGTGGTGGGAATGTGACCCGTGGGGATGTCTGGTGTAAGGAGCAGGGAAGCAGCCAAAGCAACAAGAAGAATGTTATGGTTAAACAACACCTCAATCTGGACAGTGATGAAGAGGAAATGAGGGAACTGATGGGAAGCTCTTTGAGGTTTTCCAGTGGAGATGGGAGTCGGAAGATTCCTGTAAGTGACGCTGAGCGGGGTGGAAAGGTAAGCACCAACCTTGCTGGACTGTGTATTTTTATTAACACTTGTATAGAATTGTTTCAACTGGTCATTTTTTGTTCAGGTAACATCAGATACTGAATGTTAATTGTGCATTTGTGCCTTGCTCATGGCAGGAGTCAGCTGCACTTCTTCACATCTGAAAGCATCTTGAAATGACTCTATTTTACCCATAATGATTTGTTTCCCTTTCTAGCAGTCTACACATAGCAGTGAAGTAACACACAAACCTCAGAAGAACAAGACTCCAGTCCCATCAGGGATGTCTCTTCCATCTCACAAGGAAATGTCACTATCAGAGGCATCTAAAGCATCTTCTCCTCACAATGAAGATGTAAAGAAAAGTGGTTTTGGTAGAGTTCATTCATCTTCACCCAGGAGCAGAAGCCCCTCAAGACACTCCCTGAGATCTCAATCACTGTTGTCTCCCTTGAAGGACAACACTGCAAAGATTCCTCTGCCTAGAACAGGCTACACCAAGCAGAGCCAAGAATCTCTTGGAAGTGACAGAAGTGAAATAAAATCATTGGATGAATTATTTTCAGAAGCAGCTGATGAAGAAGATCCAACCAGCAGCAGCTCAAGTCGTGAGTTTTCTCAACTGTTGTCTCAGGGGCTTGCCATGAATTGTATTGATCACCTGATAAATTTACTAGTGAACACAGGCAAATATTCACTTGGAAAAGACTTACTGGTGAAACTTTACATAAACCAAGGCCTTGTCAAAGTGATTATGGTGATCTATTTATTTTTTTTCTAGTGTAATAGCTTTGTATTTGTCATAGCTTTTGATTAACTGGGCTCAGGCTGATGTTGCTGCCCCTGGTGACAGCTGTGACACCAAAACAGTGACAGTTTAGATCAGTTTCCATACATCAGTGGGACAATGTGCCAATGGGTCAGTGAGAACAGCTGTGAGGGGCTGCAAGAATCTCTTGAATTTGGGTCAGCACAAGAAAGGAGATTTTAGGAGGAATTTCTGCTAAGTTACGGAGTTAAGGTGATTGAGTGCTGTTACTTTCTAGCCTTGCACTTTAGACTAGGAATGTGGTACTATCTTTTTCCATTTTTCTCACTTAAGGGAAATGAAAGAATTTTCATGCAAATTCTCATGTCAATGTCTCATTTGATTGCAGATTTCAGACTGAATGTCCTGAGCCTTGATGATTTGGCCCCAAATATCAGCAATGATGCAGAATCAGAGCAGAAAGTAAGTAGGAATTCCCTCTGAGCACACGTTCCCTCTCTGCCTTTATTTGGTGGAGGTTCTAAAATAAATACTTTTACAGGGGACAGACAGTCAAATTACTCAAGAATCCAACAAAAATGTGGAAGAAGATACATTCCTGGAGGAAGAGGACAGAGCAGCTCCCAAAATGATCAGAGCAGTACCTGGTGTGAGTGAAGCCTCTGAAGAGGAAGTAGAAGAAATTGCCACTGAAGCCGAAATCTCTGAGCATTTAAGTGGAGTTTCTGCAGATGTCCCTGGACACATCCAGGATGATCAAGATGACAGATCTCTTAATTCAGAATATTCTGAAGACTTTGAAAGGTCTGTATCTACAACAGACAGGGAATCTGCATCCAAACTGTCCAAGGGAGATTGTGAGAGCTCCAAGTGCTCCAGAACATCTTCCCTGTCAGTGCGTCGAGCACGGCCCAGCCAGGGGCACAGAGTGACTGTCAGAGACACCTCAGCTCAGACAGCACAGCCTCCATTCACCTGCTGCTGGGCAAAGGGTGAGTGCAGCACCTACTGCTCTGCTCAGGCAACTTTGACCCTTCTGTCTGTGCCAGCCCACTCAGCCGTGGTGGAGTTCTGAGTTTCAGTATAAGCTTCCCCTTGCTGGCATTAAATTGAAGACACTCTGAAGCTTAACACTTTAACCTGCTGTCCATAGAGAGATTGGGATTGAATAAGAGCTTGGAACAGGTTTTTGCTTAAAAAAAAACATCCCAGAGGACTTGTAGATGAGAGAGTGTTAGTAACAGAGCTCATAGAAGCCTTAGTAATATTCTCAAATGGAATTCAGCATTCTGATAGAATGGAAGGGTTTGTGTTGGAAGGACCTTAAAGCTGATCTTGCTCTACCCCTGCCCTGGGCAGGGACACCTTCCACTAGCCCAGGTTGCTCCACCCCCTCCCCAGCCTGGCCTGGAACCCTCCCAGGGATGGAGCAGCCACAGCTGCTCTGGGCAACCTGTGCCAGAGCCTCAGCACCTTCCAGCACTTCAATATCCTCACACAGAGGCCCAGAACTGTACACAGTGTTCAAGCTGTGGCCTCACTAGCACAGAGGACAAAAATCTTTATGTTTACTCTGCCCAGAGTTAGAAAAGGTTCCTTTTGCCATGGTGTGTGGTGTGAGCATAAAACTGTGGTGGTGTACTCTATATAGATATAACTCTATCCTATGTGGTATTTGTGTAACTATATGAAACCAACACTTTTGGCTGACAGAACTCCCCACTAGGCTCTACACAGCTGTCCCCAGAGACTGCTGAAGAGCACCAAGTTGTAGCACTGACCTTTCCACCCTCCCCCCCAGTAACTCTGACTCTCCCTGCCCCACAGCAAAGCCCTCTGCAGTGCTGAGCCCTCCTGCAGGAACCAGCTACATCGACCCACTGCCCATTGCCAGTCACATCATCAGTGCAGATGCAGTAGAAGGTAATGAAATCAGTTTCTTACTCTTGTGTTTTCCTTTATTTTCTGTATCTAAGCCCTGCTTGGACTGTTCAGCCCTTGCTGCCTGCTCTGTGTCACTGCTGTGTGCACTCTCTGACAGCCCTGACTACCTACAGCCCCTCGGTCCTCGTGTTACATACCCTGTTCAAACAGCACCTGATGTTGACCCAGCAGTTTGTGGAGAACATTCACCAGCTTCACTCATCCCTTGTGGAGTCACTAGAGGATGAGAAGTTCCACTACCATACCCTGGAAGAGGCTAAAGAGGTATTTATGACAGACCAGAGAGACTGAGTGTGATATTCCTTTCCAAACACTTCTGGTATTTGCAGCAAACTGAAATTTCTTTGTAGATGACTAATTAAGAAGCTTATAATGTAAAAAAAAAAACCCAAGACTAAAGTCTTGCTGGGGCCATAATTTTGAAACATTAAGGTTTCTGCTGTCCTCAGATGAGCAAGGATCTTCCTCATGCTGCAACAGAAGATCTGTTAGTACAGAAAAGTGCAGCTACCTTGACATGGTGTATTAATTAATTACTAGAAAGTATTTATCTACATAATACATTTGTGTATTAACCTTTTTTTTTTTTCTTGCAGTACATCAGGAACCACAAATCTCCACCTCTAACCCTTGAGCAGGCACTAGAGGAAATTCAGAGGGCACAGGAGGAATGACAGCTCTGACTCCTGGGCTTTTAAGCAACATCTGTATTTACAGCCCCAAGGCTGGAGAAGAAACCCCTCCCAACTTGCACACAGAGTTATAAACTGTGTGCTGGAAGGTACTAATTACCTGCTCTGTCAGTATAGTTAATACATAGTTTATTTTTCTATACTTGAATTTTTGACTCCTACATGATACAGGGCTAGGCAGGAACCTTCAGCCACACTGTGTGTCAGCAAAAAAAGAAACCAAGAAACCACTTTTCTACAAAGGGAGCATGGTAAATCCTCAGGGTATAGAGTTTGTCAGGTGGATTGTGAGATCTGTGATCACATCTGTGATTGTGCTAGAAGTGCAGGTCTGTGCTGCAGCACCCAAGGAACATGACACAGCAGAAAATTCCCATCTCCTGACTTAGTGCCACTATTCAAACAGTGTTCCTAGATAAATCAGCCTTGTCAGATGACAACAACCCCAAACACACGCAAAGCTAAGATCAGTTCACTGCAAGGAAGGCTCGGAGCCAAGGCCCAGGACTCCCTGTCCTCTGAAGTAGGAGGTGCCATGTGATGTTTATTAAAAAAAGAGTGTTTATTGGAAGGGAAAACAATAAAATTCACAAGTTGGTAACATACAGGTGTTGTATGCCAATTCACAGACAGGTACAGTTCCACAACTACAGCAGATCTAGAACAAACTGATATTCCACCATTAACTGAATGGGTTTAAGAGGGTTTTCCTATACAAACAGACAACTGGAAAAGGGAAATGCCACACAGACCTGGGGGGGAGTGGAAGTGCAGTGTAAGGGCCTAACATCTCTAGCTGGTGGTCTCTGGAAACAGTTACAAAAGGTTTACTTCTTTTCTTATTTAGATTACAGGAAGTTTCCAAGAACAATCTCATTGTTAGAAACTTAAAAGAGAGCAGAGAAAATGAATTCTCTTCTAGTGAACTAATCAGCTTTTATTAAAGGGTATATACAAAAATATAAAAAGCTCAAAGACTTTCAGTTACAAAGCATTGCCCAATCCCTCAGAGCACTGGGAAAGCTACCAGAGCCCTGAGCCCTCGTGTCCTGCCCAGAGTGGTGGCTGCAGCAGCTGCTGTGTGGGGCCTGGAGGTGGGTGGAAGGTTCTAAACAAGCTTGCACAGTGCTCATAGGTCACCTGCACTGGAACTAGATGCTTCATTCCCCATATAGACATTAGGATACACTGCTCAGCATCAGTCTGACTTGATCCCAAGGCAGCACCCCTCCACTCCAAATAGAATTAACCTTTTGAGAGAAATAAACATATATTATGGAACTAGAGAACACACAAGCACATCAGAAAATGTCTGTATGCCACAGGGATGAACGAGGCACAATCCTGCCCTGACTGGGGTTTAATCCTAGTATAAAATGGGGAACTAGTTAAAAAAGTTTGCAAGATAAATGGAAATTTAACTTGCTAGACATGTCCTAGTGCTGAGTGACCTTTCTCAACCACTAAATGACAAGTGCTGAGGGACATGTCCTAGCTTTCCATGTTCCACCAGAGTTTTAAAAGTAATTCACTTGTCACTTCCTCCAGACTTTACTCAGGATTTCTATAAGTTTAATATTTTGTAGAAGATGAAAGACATCTTTCTTCAGAGTTACTCAGGTGGTGGAGGTTCTTGTGTTTCACGCTTCACTGAAACAATAGGGAAAAGAGTTCTTACACATTCCACAGTTACCTAAGCTGAGTCCCAAATGTTTCATGGAATGAGGGCTCTGTTAATAAGGAATTCTTCCTTTTGGGCTCTGTTTGAACCCATCTGACTGCACAGATCTACTACAGCCAGAGGTAGAAGTGACTTTTCATTCCACACGCCAATTATTTTCCTTTTAGCTGTTGGCAAGTCAAGTTGTTGATGTTATCACAGACTCTGCAAAGATCCATCACTTGGGTAATTGTCTTCATCTCCTAGAAACACCTCCACTCTTTCTGAACCCTTCCTGCACTACAGGGAATCTGTTACCAGTTCTGACTTTGGCAGAACATGGCACTGGTGGGAGGAAACTCTGAGTAGGGCAGGAATAAGCTCTAAGTGTGGTTTAAGTTCATCCCAAGCACAAGTCCCTGTGGCACAGCTTTGTGACTGCTCTGAGTTTTTGAGGGGGTGACATTCAAAGCTGCAGGTGCTCAGTATTGCAGCCAGGAAGAACAGGCTAATTAAGGAGTGTTTCAGAAATCAGAACACAACACAAGGCCTAAAAAGGTAAACATGGCTGGAAAAATGTGTGTCCACTTACCTGTTTTACTGTATCTGTTAGACTAGAAGGAATTAAGAGCTACTGATATTGTGATTTGGGTTTAGAGGATACAGTAACAGAACAGAATCACTCTCAAGTCCACCCAGGTGTGGAAGAGGCTGAGGAACATTCACTTACATTCGTCCCTGGCCTTCATGCGGGCGATAAAGGAGTAACTTTTATTTCTTCGGTAGTTTTCGTAAGGGTCGTCCAGGGCAACTCCCACTCCCTTGTACTGATCCCACTTGTCTCGGATGTCCCCTCCTTTAATTGGATCCTGAATTCCTTGTTCCTTAGCTCCCAAGCCACCAGATCCACTCCATCCTGCAGCAAAGACACAACATTGCAATCCTCTCACTATTTTTGTGTGATTAGAAAGATCTTTTGGGAACAACCACAGGATGGGAACAGACAGCCTGAAACAACACCTGAACTGTCCCACTTACTTCACATCAACATGCAGAGATTCCAGGAGCTGACAGACAGCAGCACTAGCCCAGTCTGTCTGGTCAGTCCTGCTGACCTGTACTACAGGGAAATGAAATCCCTTGGGTAGGTCACCTCTGTCTGATGCCAAACTCACAGCCCTGTCCTCCACAGCCTTCCCAGAACAGCAACCACCACTGCTCCATGTTCTCTACACTTACATCTCTGAATACCCTTATGCTGACCTTGGAATGCCAAGGGATAATTCCTTATGAACATGCATTAATTAAGAGTTCAGTGCCTGCCTTAGTTTCCTGTCTCATATAAGATTCCAGAACAGCAACTTACCCATTTTCACTAGCATTTGATGACCTTTGTTTTCCTCTCCAAGTCTTGATTCTGGTATAGGAGGCCCAGAACTGGAGCCCAAACCAGCAGAAGAACTAAGGATATGAAAAGCACAATTTAAGAACAAGTTATTCCATTTGGACACAAAGCAAAGTCAGTTCTATTCTGCTGAGCATTAACACCCAGCACAATCCCATCCACTGCACTGAGCTACTCTTTCACAAAGCCATAAGATACAGAGTTACTGAGGTGCCTTCTGGCACTGCTTGTCACACCTGTGGCACCTCAGCTGGGTCTCAGCACCAGGGGAACAGAGCACTGTGCTCTTCCCAACAGAGCACGTGGAGGATTCCTCCTGCTCCTGAGAAAGGTGTACAAAGCTTTCACAGATGCAGTTTTGTTATACCAAAACCCCCACAACAGAGTCATGTTCCCTCATCAAACACACAGAGCAGAGAAACAGCTTCTAAATCTGCTTTCCATCTTTTCTGCTCTACGGTGCAATGCTGATTATCCCCTGCTAATGAGCAAGTGCCCTTGCAGGGGCTGTGTTCCCCACAGCCCAGCCAGAGGAGCCAGGGGAGGCAGAGCTTACGGAGGAGTGGGGCTGCGGGAGCGAGAGCGGCGCCGCCTGCCCGGCGAGTAGGACTTGGACCTGGACCTGGACCGGGAGCGCGAGCGGCTGTGCGAGGAGCGAGACCTGCTGCGGCTCCTGCAACGAGAGCACAGAGTTAGCACAACAACACACACAGCTCCCCCAGCCCCAGGGGGTGTTCCCACTCCCCCTGCACTGTACCTGGACTGGGAGCGCGAGTAGGAGCGCGAGCGGGAGCAGGAGCGAGAGCGTGACCTGGAGTAGGAGCCGGATGACTTGGAAGATCGGGAATTGGAGCGGGAGGAGGAGCGGCCGCGGCTCTTGGACCGACTGCGAGAGCGAGAGGGGCCACTGCAGAGAGAACAGCACAGACAGTCAAACCCTGCCAGAAGCACCAGAACTACAAATCTCACCACGTTTGGGTTACACACGAGCACTGCATTTCTCAGACAATGCAGTGACAACTGGAGTGTGACCAAAACGATTGCACTGAATCCCAGAACGGTTTGGATTGGAAGGGACCTTAAAGATCATCCAGTTCCACCCCCTGCCATGGGCAGGGACACCTTCCACCAGCCCAGGCTGCTCCAAACCCCATCCAACCTGGCCTGGAACACTCCCAGGGATGGAGCAGCCACAGCTGCTCTGGGCAACCTGTGCCACATTTTCTGCAAACCTGACAAATTCCATCACATTGAAACTCAGTTATCCCACCAGCATGTTGCTGAAGACTTCCCCTCTGCATTTAGCCCAAGCACCTTCCCAGATGCACAGCACACAGCAGAAGGCAGCAGACAGCATCTCTCACCTGTTTCTCTTCTCCTGACCTTTCCTCCTCCTTGCTCTCATCTTAGCTCTGAAGAACTCGTACAGTCCATTCTGCTCCCAGCCTTCACTGCAATGAATCAACCACACACAGCTGTAAATTCCACACAACAGACACCTTCAGGATCTGCACTACATTTCGTAGGGAACAAAGGGCCTGGCCACAAAGGTCTCACAAGTCTCAGTGTGAGATGAGAGTCACAGTGCAAGAAAAGCTTTAGAGAACCAGACACAGGCGAAGGAAGAGAGAGGGACTGTGTTGTTTGAGACCCCTTCCTAGGGCATTTTCCTTACCATATTGTTAGCTACACCTGCCCTTACCTGTTTCTAGGCCTGTCATGAGATGGTGGACTATAAAATGCCTCGACCGCAGCCAGGAGCCTCTCACTGGGGGGCATTGGGGGTGGAAGACGAATGTCTTTAGGATCTAAAGGTTTATACTCGTGATCTTCAAGCTGCCAGAAACAAAACAGATTGCATTGGTGTCATGGGGTGACTACCTGAGAGAGAAATAGAGATTTCACTGTGGAGGGAGCTCACATTTCACTACTGGATAAAAAAAGGTCCAGAAATAAGGATTTTCCAGATGACCCAAAGCTTTCTGGTGCTGTCACTACTGTGAGTTGTAGGAGAAAAAGCTCTGCACAGGTTGCAGCATTAACTGGATCACCAGGTAGATACAATGCAGATCTCATCTACCTCTGTGCTAAGGTGGCTGGGTGGAAACCTGGCAGGAGCTGAGTGTGCTGAGTAACACAGTGTGAGGTGGAAGAGACTTCATCTCAAACACAGAATGCCTAAGTGTAAACATCCCCAAAGATGCTGATGCACATACAGTTCCTGTTCTCTATCCTTGTGTGTTTAGCATTAGTGATGCAAGACATCTTTGTGAGAATTCTCACTACCAAAAACTAGTGCACACTGACCACAGCAGAGCTGGGAGGTCCCTCTGGCCACCTGAAACCACTGAGGATTTCTATTTCCTACAACCAGTCAGACTCTCAAGGGTGAATTAGTCTTTCACATACATGAACAAAACCAGCTTTCTCTGCCACACACCACCTGAAAAACATCACCATTTTCACTACCTTCTGCCCCCACTCCTGCCCTTACACCCTCCACAGCTTTGGCTAACGGCTGTGGGATGGAAGGATTTGAAATTAAACACATCCCCATTTAACTACCCTTAACATCAACCACAGCACTTGGATCTTTTCATCCCACCACAGCAAGCACTTACTTTGACAAGTGGAGCCATCAGTCCAGCAGGGAGATCGAAGTAGGGGACGTTTGGCACCAGACTGGGGTCGTCGTGGTTCATGTGAGGAGGTCCCTGGCGCCTCATGTGTGGGGGCTGCCCGTTAAAGCCATGGGGGGGAGGCCCAAAATCAGGGTGCTGGGGCCCTCCCCAGGGAGGGTGCTCACTGATTCCAGGGTGAGGCAATCTGTGACCAGGATGGTGGTGAGGAGGTCCAATTTCTGCAGAGTGGGAGGGTTAAAATGTTTTATTTCGCTATTGGGAAAAGAAGGCAATCAGATGTGCTTTAATTAGTGCATTTATCCTCAGAAACAATCTTGGCAGATCCAGCAAAGCACCAGAATTGAGCAACTAGAGGTTGGTTACAGGTCCACACTCATGAATTCCCTGCAGGGCATCTCCCTCCCTAGCCACAGAGACAACTCTCAAGACAACAGGACACTTCAGCCCTAAGCCACTCTTCCTCTGGGACATACTGTGGTCAGAAGTACCACAAGAAAGACACAGTCCAGAACAAAATGTTTCAGATGCAGCAGGGCACATCTATTCCTGAAACTAAGTACACATCATGGCTTAGCTTGGACCTGTAATTACTTCTGTCTCTGTGCCAAATCAGCATATACAAAGAAGCAAATATGGCAGGAATTGACTCACATGAGCAGGTGACAAGAAAATACTTCTTTTAAAGAGGCATTTGGAGAAGAGAGAGAGATAATATCCTGCCAAAAGAGGGAAGTGAATGACATCCATCCAATCCCTGATGGATGAACACCACGAGACATCGCTGAGCTCAGTGCACTACACAGAGAAAAATGCCAGACTGAAAATCAACATCTCCTGCAGCAGGAACAACTGTTTTCCCAGGAAAAGCCACTGCAGCCACTGCCCAGGCTCAAGCTGACGCTGTTTGAGTCACTGTTATCAGAACTGCAGCACAGTCTGTGTTGTCACTGCATCACTCCTTTCCTAACTGTAACCATCTGGCTCAGCAGATCCTCCAACAGCTCCACACGACACAACAGCTGGTTTGGATCACCACAACAATCCCCAACTGAGCATCTTGTTCTGAGCTTAAACCTAAACCCCCTCAGGACACAAGAGTTGTTCTCCCTACTCACTACCACAACCAAACAGCAAACCCCAAGGCAAGAAAAAAAAAAAAAGGAACAATCTCTAATGAGAAGTTAAACACAATCCTAAACATAAAAGCTCCAATTAATTGAGTTTCAATGTTTTTCAGACTTGAACAATTAAGAGTCTTTCAGGCTTTTTAAGCAACTCCTCTACAGAAACAGAACTGCTCTTCTAAGTGGTTTGTCCCACAGAGCCACAGTGACCTTTGGCCCCTAGGATCATTCCAGAATTACTGTAACTCCTGCACGTGGCAAGGAAATCACACTGGGGCAGAACGACAGCAGATTTCTTGGAAGGAGCTGAGCCAAACCTGAGCCAGGCCAGGCCTGGATACACTCCCAGACATCTGTGTTCCAGTGAGGGAACAAACCCAAGCAGCAGGGAGAACTGGAGAGAGGGAGGGACCATTGCACCACACACAACAGTAAGGCAGATGTCAAAGAGCTTTTCAGTAAAGAGAGAAGGAAGAACGACATGGATGAACACGCACAGGAACAAATCCTTCCAGCCTGAATTCCTCTAACATTTCCCATCCAGAGAGGACACAGCTGCAGAGTCCACAGCAGGAGGTGGAATTTACAAGCAAATGCTGCTTCTCACCCTTGAGCTTACTATTTTCAGAGTGAAATAGTCACCTGAGTGCCTGAAGAGATGCTGACTTGAGTTTGGATTGCAATTTCCATATCCATTAGGGAAGACTCAAAAAGCAAGGAAGCAACCAGCTCTGTCTCCTAGTGAGTTCTCAGCAGTAACTTCCCAAACCCCCAAACTCAACACTTCTCAGGAACACCACCACAATCCACCAAGGATACGCTGTGACCCCAGAGCACTAAACAATGCCATAACAGCAAACAAGAACAACCTGTCCTGGTACACACTTTACCTTGAGGAAAATCCCCCTGGGGGTAATCAAAACGATGAGGATAAGGAGGCCTTTCAAAGGGATGGCGAGGTGGGAAATCATCCTGCATGAAGCGAGGTGGAAAGCGGTTGAAATTATGCGGATGCGGGGGCTGGTTGAATTGGGGATGTTGCTGATGTGGAGGGAATGGGCCTCGGAAGTGAGGTGGCCGCTGCATTCGAAATGGAGGTTCCCTTTGCCCCCCACCCCATGGAGGTTGTTCATGCTGGTTGTTCCACGGTGCTTCAAACTGGTTGTTCCAAGAAGGATCTGGTTGGTTGTTCCAAGGTGTCTCTCGCTGGTTGTTCCAGCCTTGATCTCTCTGTTCGTTCCACATTCCTTCGTGGTTGTTATTCCAGGGAGGACAGTGAGGTGGTCCCTGGTGGTGAAGGACAGAAACCATTAGGTCATTAGGCTACAAAAATCAAGAACACAATGAAAATAAATACAGCCATGCACCAGTGAAAGGACATTCCCAATCCAAGGTCTGAACAACTGCAGCTTCAGGGAAGAGATGGGAAGAGACCAAACTGTTCCTGAACCAAACAGCTCTTGGAATCATAGATTGTTAAAGGGTTGGAATGGAGCTTAGAGATCATCCAGCCCCAACCCTCTGCCCTGGGCAGGGACATCTCCCACCAGAGCAGGTTGCGCAAGGCTTCATCCAACCTGGCTGTGAACGACGCCAAGGTTGGGGCAAGGCATGGTGTGATGGATGACAAACTGACAGACAATTTATACTTTGCCTTTAACTGGACTCAGAAGGACAAAGCTTGGCATTTGCACCTGGATATTGCACTTTCACAGCTTTTCACTGCCCTTCCACAACCAAGATGGTCATTCCAAACCTCCACATCTGGTCTCAGAACTGTTTCTTACCTGTTGTTGACCCCACGGTGCAACAGGGTGAGGTTGGTCAAACCAGGGGGGTTTATTTGGGGGCATCTGGTCATGAGACCCAGGCCCACGTGGCCCACCCGAGGCAGGATCCTGCACTCCAGACCCAGCTGTGTCATACTCTCCAGAACCAGCAAGAGGCAGCTGAGATTTACCATCATCTGAAACAATTTGGAAACTGTCATCAGCATCCAAGTCACAAATAATTTATGAAACACCAGCACACCTGCATCAGGCTCCATCTGAACTTCTTCTGCAGAAATCTGTACTGGGAGAAAGGATTTCTGAGCCATTTAACATCCATCTCTGTGAGTTTTTTATACTCAAGCCTCAGGCTGCACCTGCTGCAAGACTCTGAAGAGAGTCAGGCTTTTCCCTGAACCAAACCAGCACAGCACAGTGCCTCACTGCTAAAAAAAGGAGCAAAATAAAAGTGTCCCAAGATTGCCACCCACTGACCTGTGCACAGTGCCCACGACAGCTCAGTACCTGCTTGTGTCACGGGGGCAGACGGTGGCGCCGAGGCTGGGGCTGCTGGGGGGGCCTGAGGTGGGGGGGTGGATTTCACCTCGTTCTCTAGTGGGGGGATTTGTATCTGCTGCTGCTGCTGCTGTGTCAAACTGTTCACAAACTCCTCGTGTTGAGTTTTCAGGTTCTGGATCTGCTGCTGGAAGGCAACCTGCACAGGCTGCACCACCGTGGCATACTCGGTGATCAGATTCGCCTGACAGAGGAGAGGAAGGACAACAAGTGAACACTGTACCTAGAATGCTCATCCAGAATTCCCTGTACTGCTCCCCACCCCTCTCCCAAGAAATCCATGAGGACATAGGCTAATTCTGGCAGGACCCCCAGTCTCAGGGTGGAGGTTTCCCAGTGCTCTCTGCAGGCTGGACCCACCACCTCAGATCACCTTTTCTCCAGCTCCCATCAACAGCATCCATTACTAATGCCAAAAATGAAGTTTCTGCTGCCACAGCCATTTTTATCTTATTGGATCCAATTTAAAGCCATGATTTCCTTTTTCTTTTTGACCAAACATTCATCTCCCTAAAAGACACCATCAAACACATACAGGACCACCAGGCTGTATCCTCTATCCAAGACCATGTCAGCACTTGGATTACTGAATGCTTGAAATAACAAGGTTGTATTTTACATTGTTTTTACAATCCCTTGCAAACAGCTTCAGGGGGGGCAGGAATTAATATTCACCTTTCAAAAAGGGAAACGTGTCCTAAATTTGTTCTCAAAATAATCACAAAAATAAGAGAACTGTAAGTTTTGTGGCTAACCTGGTACTGGCCAAGTCCAAGAGCTGGGCTCTGTAACTGCTGAATTATGGACTCATCAAAGTACCCATTTTTCTCCCATAGTTGAAGAAGCTGCATAAATTCAAGAGTGAAAGGTTTTTAGAAGTGAACAATCAAAGAAAAACTGAGGCTCAGCATTTTTATGTCTCCAGCTTTTCCTAAGGCCTAGGATTTCAGCATTTGTTCTTGAACCACTGAAGATTCAGATGCATTTAGCATATCACTTTTAAATAAAGCTTAGGTACTTTTAACTTCTAGTTGAAACATGAATTAAAGCAAATCCTTTATGAAGACAATCAGACCAGAAAAAAAAATAAATCTCAGTGGTCTTTTTCCATCCTTCTATTTTTGAACTTGTCTATCACCAACCCAACGAAGCAAAACTCACAGTTAAACCAAACCCAGATACTCACCCTGGCAATTTTCTGTTGCTTATCCTCTTCCACTGCTAGAAAACTGGTACAATAAATAGGCACAACCACCTTCTGTAAAGCAGCCAGGAGATCTCGTGCTTGTTTGCGCTGACTTCAGGAGAGGAAGGGAAGAGTTACCTTTGCCACTGTAACACTAAGTGCATTGGAACATTCATCTCAACTTCTGCTGTACTAAAAGGAGTAGATTGATAAAACAGAGAACTCTGCCCTTTACATTTTTACTGTGAAGTCTTGGCTGGAGGGGAAATACACCAAGCAGGTAAAAATTAAGCTGGAGCACTGGAGCACCAGATCTCTGTGCCAGCTGTGGATACTCCAGGACAGCTGCTGATGCATTAAAAAGTGATGAGACAAACTAACATTGTATGCAGGAGAGAGACTTCACCAAATGAATCACAGAATCATGGAATTTAAGGGGTTGGAATGGACCTTACAGATCATCCAGCCCCAACCCCCTGCCCTGGGCAGGGACACCTCCCACCAGAGCAGGTTGCTCAAGGCTCATCCAACCTGGAATGAACAT